AAAAAAAAAAAAAACCTGTCTAGTTTTGGTCATTTTTTTTAAACTTCCAATTTTAGTATTGTTAAATAATCCCAAATCTTTCCTTTCCTTACCTTTTATTTTATATTAAATTATATATATTAGATCTGTGTATGGTCTTTATCATATTCCATTGACCTGCTGGTATCACACTGCTTTAAATAAGGTAGCTTTAGGGCCGGCCTGTGGCTTAGCGGTTAAGTGCACGCGCTCCGCTGCTGGCGGCCTGGGTTCAGATCCCGGGCGCACACCAACGCACCGCTTCTCCAGCCATGCTGAGGCCACGTCCCATATACAGCAACTAGAAGGATGTGCAGCTATGACATACAACTATCTACTGGGGCTTTGGGGGAAAAAATAAATAAAAATTATAAAAAAATAAAAAAATAAGGTAGCTTTATATTACTATCAGGACAATACATTTTAATATCTGATAACAGTAGTTTCTTATCATTCCCCCATTTTTCAAAATTTATTTGCCAAGTTTTCAGCTTTTACTAATTATTATTTATTAATGCCAACTAAATGCTGTTCCTTTAACAACTATAAATGGTTTATATTGTTACCTTATTAGCCTATTGTTATCTCATCCATTTAAGTATAGCCATATATCTTTTCACTAGAGATCATAATTAGATAAAAGTTTTATTATAACCGCTGATGATGTAATGTATTTTCTTTGACATAACTGTGATGCTATTAATATAGGAATATTCCCAATAGGTATTAAAGATGATTACTATGTAATAGTTACAGAAAGAGGAGATAAAATTAAATGGCCTAAAATTCAGTGTCAAAACCAGGAAGGTAATTCAGAATGGTCTGAGTGCCAGAATTCTGTATAGATCTGGCTACAAGATGTCACCATTCCGACAAAAAAAGAAACCATGAAGGTAACTAGCAATGACTTTGAATATACTTCCCCCAGTGTCCCACCATAATAATTTTTTTATTGAAGTTAACTTAAGGAAATTATTTTAAAACTTTATATGGCAAATGAAAAATTCTGAAAAACACAAATAAGATAAATTTATTTCAAAAATTAACATTCAGTCACTGCTAGGCATTATCTCTTAGAGCATTAATTTACATTATATTGTTGCTTGAGCCAGCCAGTCACTGATCCCGATAGTCAGTCTAAATAGTTAAATATTTTTTTGTTTTTCTCGAAAGTCACTATTTTTTTTT